AGAGGCGGGGCAGGGCTGGAGCGTGGCAGCCGGGACTGTGCCACGGGGCGGGAGGTGTTCCTTCCCCGCACACCACCACTCGCTGGTGTTCTTGTTGAAGCCAGGCGGCCACTCGCCCTGTGGCTCTCTGTGCACAGCTGGTGGCGGTGACTCCTTTTTCAAACAAGCAACACTAATTAATAACCTCCACGGCCTCCTGGCCGTGTGGGTACAGGGGCCAGCGGACTCCGGGCTGTGGCGCAGCGAGGGCTGAGGGCAGCCATGGAACGACGGAGCCGGGAGGAGCGTGACCCCACCGCCTGCGAGGGGCTCCCAGCTGGTTCTGCGTCCCCCCGCATCTGTGAGGTCATTATCGGGCATATTCCAGAACCACCGGACAGGCAGGCTTCCCGCCATGGTGTTGGAGGGCAAGGACAAAGCCCTGTAGGCCCCCAGAGAGAAGCATCTTCCACTGCCGCAGGCCTCCACACGGGCGAGAGCTCGGCTATCCCCACCGGTGTAGTCATCCTCCGCCATGGAGAGGAAGATGAGTGCTATGGCTTGCGCCGTCTTCAATGAGCTTCGCCTGGAGGGGAAACTCTGCGATGTGACCATCAGCGTGGACGGTGTTGAGTTCAACGCGCACAAGAACATCCTCTGTAGCTGCAGCCACTACTTCAGGTCGGTGCTTGAGGCAAGAGGGGATGGGCACAAACAGCATTTCCCAGGCTGTGTCACGCTGCCTTAGAGTATCTCCAGCGCTTCCATGGGCACTATAACTCTCCTCCGGCCGTTCTCACAGTCCCGCTCCCTGCCTGGGCACCGGAATTCATCCACAACCTGGTACCAAACAGCAGCGCTGGAAGCGGCGTCTGTCGAAGCCCCAGATGCGGTGCAGGGCTGGAGCGTGGCAGCCGGGACTGTCTGCCACGGGGCGGGAGGTGTTCCTTCCCCGCACACCACCACTCGCTGGTGTTCTTGTTGAAGCCAGGTGGCCACTCGCCCTGTGGCTCTCTGTGCGTGGCTACGGCCAGTGCCCAAGTGGGTGCCCGGGCAAGGAGGAGGCACAGGGGCCAACGGAGTCAAGGTTTAACGCAGCAAAGCCGCCTTTTCCTCCAGCACTGCTTGGGTTTTTCAGGGCTTTGTTTGCCAGCAACTGGAGCAACGCCGAGAAGAGAGTCTACAAGATCAAGGGCACTTCGCCTGAAATGATGCGGCTCATTATCGAGTACGCTTACACCAGGACAGTCCCGGTCACGGTGGACAACGTTCAGAGTTTGCTGGCCGCAGCCGACCAGTTCAATGTCATGGGCATCGTCGGACTGTGCAGTGAGTTCTTAAAATCCCAGCTCTGCTCCGAAAATTGCATCGGCATCTGGAGATTTGCCGATTATTGCTACTGCCCCGACCTGCGAGAAGCAGCCTGTGTCTTCATCCTCCACCACTTTGAGGAGATGAGCAGGCTGTCTACAGAGTTTCTAGATGTCTCTGTCAACGAGCTCATGCACATCCTGGAGAAGGACGAGCTCAACGTGAAACGAGAAGAGGCCGTGTTCGAGGCCATCCTGAAATGGATCGATCATGCCCCGCAGGACAGGAGGCAGCACATCGCCGTCTTGCTGAGCCAGGTGGGTGCTCTCCGGCCCTCGGGCTCCCTACTAAGCTTTGGACAACGCTGTGGCCTGAAAGCAAAGCCACTCGCCATCGGAGCCTTCCACTAAGGATACCAGGGTGTAAAGCATCTGCATTAAGGTTCTAACCTCCTTTTTGCCTTTCGCAGGTTCGACTGGCACTGATGCAAGCAGACTACTTCATAAACAACGTCAAAACACACCGTTATGTGAAGGACAACGAGGAATGCAAAGTTCTCGTCATAAACACGCTGACAGAAATGTACAACCTCAATATGTACGGCCCATCCTCTTCTGACTTCACCCAGCGCCTCACGCGGCCTCGCCTGCCCTACGCCGTCCTGTTTGCTATCGGAGGCTGGAGTGGGGGGAGCCCAACCAACGCCATTGAGACCTATGACTCCCGTGCAGACCAGTGGGTGAACGTCACGTGTGAGCAAGAAAGCCCCCTCGCCTACCACGGCACGGCTTATTTTAACGGCTTTGTCTACGTTGTTGGAGGATTTGACAGCACGGATTATTTCAGCAGCGTCAAGCGGTTTGACCCGCTGACAAAAACGTGGCAGCAGGTCGCACCCATGCACTCGCGGCGCTGCTACGTGAGCGTCGCTGTTCTCAACAACCTCCTCTACGCCATGGGAGGGTTTGACGGACACACGCGCCTCAGCACAGCAGAACGCTACGAGCCAGAGACGAACCAGTGGGCTCTGATTGCCCCCATGCACGAGCGGAGAAGCGATGCGAGTGCGACCACGCTGCATGAGAAGGTAAACGGGCCGCGAGATCACAGAACCCCGTTAAGGCTGGAGTCCGGTGAGCAGGACCAGGAACCAACCAAGCCCCAGTGCCCAGCACTACCCAGTCAGCACCTGCCTGTCCCTTCCTACGGCACAGAGCCAGGCAGGGACCCTCGCGGAGCTCTGCCAGTGAGACACACGGCTACTGCTCCCAGTTCGTCACCTAGAGAGAAAAGAGGAGCTGCGGGAGCAGGAAAGGGAACAAATGCTCCCGTTAACAAAGAGGAGGGAAGTTCCCGTAAACCTCATGCCTTAAATCCTGGAGCTCCCGATACAAGGCTCTCTAAGAGGCAGCAACCGACCGGCACAGTGGAGACGCAGACCAGAGCGGTAGAATCCCCCCAAAACACTCCACCAAAATCCAGCCATGCCCTTCATTTTCTCCTCGATGCGTTCTCCCTCCCAGGCTCTCACTGCCCTGCTCACCCTTTTTTCCTCCTGTGAACAGGTGTATATATGTGGAGGGTTCAACGGAACCGAATGCTTGATCACAGCCGAAGCGTATGATCCCGCAACACAGCAATGGACCCTGATAGCCCCCATGAGCAGCAGGAGAAGCGGAGTAGGAGTCATTGCATACGGAAACCAAGTGTATGCGGTAAGGGAGCAGTGGCACCGCCACTGTGACACCACCCAGCACTTGTAGTCCTTCTTTTTGCTCATCGGCATCTCCTGGATTTCAGGCTGGCCATTTGCTTGTAAGGGCCATTTAGGGAAGGAAGCCAGAGCCTGAACGGTTGCTGTGTCTCCTGCGGGTATTCCCACCTGCACACTTTTGGGTACGGAAAACTTGTGCATCACTTTGCTGCAGCGGCAGCAAAGAAATTGCTTACAAGTAGTCAGCATGCGACTTGCGCGCGGAATGGTTCGGCCGCCTCAGCGGGTGAGGAATGGCCCGTTTCAACTCTGTACCTCTGGCATTCCCAGGTCGGAGGATTTGACGGAGTCAACCGCCTCCGCAGCGCGGAAGCTTACAACCCCGCTGCCAACATGTGGCGCACAGTCCCCAACATGTTCAGTCCTCGCAGCAACTTTGGCATTGAAGTGGTGGACGATCTTCTGGTTGTGGTTGGCGGCTTTAACGGGTTTACTACTACTTTCCATGTGGAGTGTTACGACGAAAACACTAATGAGTGGTACGATGTTCAGGACATGGGCATAAACCGTAGCGCTCTGAGCTGCTGTGTGGTGCCCGCTCTACCCAACGTCAGGGAGTACGTGGCCAGACGAGACTACTACGCGGACAACTCTTCGAGGGAAGTCGGCGTCATTTCTTCAACAGGTAGCCTGCCTGTATAAACAGCTCCGCTTAGCTAATAAAGCCTTTTGAGCAGCAAGGGAACACAGTCCCTTATTCAAACAGAAAAACAATTCATACAGACCAAAAGAGTCGTTAGTACTGAAAACTTGCACTCTCTGGCACCACAAGAGTGGCCACAGCCTACAGAGCAACTTCAAAAATCAAAGGTACAACAGAATGCTAGAGAAATAAAAGGTTTATTTTCAGTCGTTCACTTATACCGTAAACTTTAGTACAGTGTATTGAAGGTAAAGAACATTACAGTAGGATTTGTCTCCAACGGCCTCTACCCATGTAGTACTTGACCTTACTGGAAGTAAGACCGGGAGTGCTGCTTCCCCAAGCAATGTGCTGAAGTTGGGGTACGAAACCATACGGCGTTCTCAGTTCATGTCCTCGCTGACAGGTCGCGGTCCTGCCACACAATCCATCGGTGTAAACAATTCCATTTCCCCTGTAGTTCCTGTTTTGGGAGCGATACCATCTAGAAGAATTTCAGTCCTCACCATGTTTTGTACCAGAGGTGCTGCACTCCCATCGGCAAACCAGGCATCTTTTTGTGCTCTTCTATTAACCCATCATAAGGGGGAGGCTCCTCCACAGGAGATGCAGGGATACCTCCAAGGGCAAGAGTTTCCCCTCCTCTGGGCATGTGATTCCAGTTCTGAAGAGTGGCCTGTGGAGAGGCTACATGTAGTTTTCCTGCTAGAAATTGTTGCTGTAAACTATGTTCCCATTTCCAATGTGTCCCTGTGGGACGATACTAATTTGAGCGGTTCTGCACATGCTGTTAAAACTGTTGCACCCAACCATTGAGAGAGCGTAGGTGCAATAATGTCTCACCCATCAGAACCTCTGACATTTTGCAGCTGAGCATATCCTCGTTGTATCTGATCATCACTGCCTATAGGGCTTAATATATCTTTTTCATCCACTAATAAATGGATAGATGCAGCTCCACTATCCCAAGCTCACAAAATCCGTGCCAGTACGCCTCCCCCACTCTTTTGCTGATAGATCTCTAAAAATTCCCTTAACTTTTTTGGAGTGTAAGTACGACTGATCTGCACTCCCCCCATCCGCTCGTTCCTGCTCACTGCTTGTTTTATGAGGGGTTCTACTTCCACCTCCTCCCTGCCTTTAAAGTCTAGATCAAATCCAAACTCAATGTCAGAGTCTGAGGATTCACTCCAAATACTCCCATCTCATTTCACGGGATCCCATGACCATTTTGTGGTGAAGGCACAAACTTGGGAAATCGAAACCTACCTTTTTCCATATTTGTCCCTTCACTTATTAGTGATATGTGCTACCAACCGCTCTACATGATGTTGCAGCTCATAGCACCGCTCTGCTTGCACAGTAGTTACTTCTTGCACGATCACCTTTACATCTCGTCAAGTCTCCTTTTCCTTTTCCAGTTCTCTCACTTTACTGGGTAGTGCACCAACCTCCCGGTGAGAGCTCCGGGCCGGTAGCTAACAGCCAGCCCAATCTCCCCACTCATCTGCCAGAAGAATCCCGCACTCCTTTCCACGGCAACCCGCCCCAAACCCTTTCAATTGCCTGGGGGGAACCACAGAAAAAACAGCCTGGTTCTCCCTCTCCTCTGGGCCTTCCGCCTCTCCAGCTGCAGGAGGTGTAGAAGGTGCCTCCTGGCCCGGGGACGGAGCAGCCAGGCCAGGGCTGGGGAGGTGGGGAAGGGGGCGCCGCTGAAGAAAAGGACCAGGCGTGAGGGCAATGCGTTGCCTGCTCTCCGCTGGCACAGCCCCACCACAGCCAGAGCCCACCGAGGCAGCACTGCAGCTCCCTCATCCCCTGCTCCTTGATGGACCGGATCAGCCCCATCTCACGCTCGGGCTGCTCCATGTGGAACGTGGCGTTCTCCTGCTCAGGCACCTGCAGGTAGAGCCCCCCTCAGTGCCACCCCGGGATGCCCTGCAGCAAGATGGTAACATCAGGAGCATTCTGTAGGCCGTGCTAAGCCCTCCCGGGGGCTCCTAGGCACCCCCGCGACCTCCGGGCCTGAGGATGCTCAGGGGAGAGCAGCCGGGCACGAGTGAGGCCAGCGAGGAGCCGGGCCGGGGCTCCCCATCCCCAC